GAGAGAGAGAACGAAAAGAGAGAGAGAGAACGAAAGAAAGAGAAAAGAAAGAGAGAGAACGAGAGAGAAAGAGAGAGAACGAGAAAGAAAGAGAGAGAGAACGAGAGAGACAGAAAAGAGAAGAGAACGAGAGAAAAAAAGAGAGAGAACGTGAGAGAGAGAGAGAAACGAAGGAGAGAGAGAGTGAGTGAGAAGAAAGAGAAGAGAGGAAAAAAAAGAAAGGTAGAGATGAGAACGTTTAATTTTATTGCCGCGAAGCATCCCTCCTGCCCTTCCCCCGCCCTCGGTCGAGTGACGACAGCGCGCGCGTTTCCTGGTGCGCAGGGGCAACGCCAACCGAAGGAAGATGCGGCGTGACGGTGGCGCGCCGAGCCAGCGCGGCCGCCGCCGTCGTGGCGCATGGTGCGGCGCGTCCTCGCCTCCGGGACAAGGCGCAGCTGGACGAGCGCGCCGATGGCTTGCCGCGGGAGCGTCCTCCCCACCGCCGTCATGGGCGACATCGCCTCGTGCGGTACCGGACCGCGCCAAGCCCCGGCCGACACACTTTCCCTAGGTACTTTGCTCTTGTAAAACACCTCAGGAAGTAACGATCAATCTTTTGGTTATTACTATTTCTACTATTATTACCAATTCGTCTTCTTCTTAAGTAGTTCTTCTTTCTTCTTCTTCTTCTTCTTCTTCTGCCCTTCTTCTTATTATTAATTATTATTATCATTATCATTACCATTATTATTTTACTATATTATCATTATTATTATTATTATTAATTATTATTATTAATTATTATTATTGGGTGCATAGTCTATTACTGACTACGCTACGCGATTAACTTGTGTAATTTGTCAACATCAGCTTTTCAGCTGGTTCCTCAGTATCACAAGGTTGTTACACCTTGAGCGTGAATTATGAGATGATACGATGATCAGGAGTGAAGGGACAATCACAAATAACGACCATGTACAATTTTGCCCTTTTTCGTCCTTTGACATTTTCTCTTTTACTATATTTGATATTATTGTATAAATACACTGCTGCACTTTTCTCTCCTCAAAAACTTTGAAATTGTTATTTTTTCTTCTCACTTGGAAAACGAGTACCATTTCAAGATTGTCTAAGAATCTTCACGTTATCTGATACAATTTCTTCCCGTTTATTTTTAACGTCTTTTATACCGGTGTTGATAATTTCGTTTTCCCAATGTTATTTTAAATATTCTTTCGTACGTCAGTGTCATTCATTGTAAAGAGAAGCCTAAAATATGAAATATCCTTCTCTTACAGAGCAGATATTTTTTTTCTATTATTATTATTATTATTATTATTATTATTATTATTATTATTATTATTACTATTATTATTAATAATTTAAATAGTTTTGTCTATAAAGTACTGTAATGCTATGCTATAAATGAAGGGATCAATGAGAGATAATCATAAGCTAAAATTGCAGTTTGTCGATACAAATTAATGTGGATAAAAGTTCATCAAGCAAGGACCACGACGGTGGGGTAATTAACATTCCATCTATAAATAGAAACTGATAATACTGAATGAGAGGAGGGTTCCTGAGAGCATTGTTTTATCCATAACTCCAAAACTGACAATTGGCGATTATCTCCCTGAGCCCTAGTATATTTATATAGCATTAAGCATACGCAACCTATCAGAACGGTTTTTCTCCAGCAGTTTATATTTTCTTTCTTTGCAAACGAAACCTTTTTTTACTTCTTTGCAAACGAAACATACTTTTATGCTTGATATATGTAATTGACTTTCCAGACAACGTAGCTCTGTGTTTCGTAATAGACTGACGAAGAAACGTAATCGTTTACAGGTGGACCCCCCGTTCCCCACTGATCGGGACCGGGAGATTCGACCAGTTGAGTTGCAAACGCAGCGTGGAATCGTGGCGAACTGCGTCCTTAGCGGCTGGGGATACACCAAGGTAAGTTTTCTAAAGTGTGGCGGGTTTAGCGCATGTCATGGCAGCTACTCTCAATAGGGGTCTACATTTGTGAAGACAGTTGAATGGCAGTTATTTATATTTTTTAATAACGTAAATAAATGGTTTACACGGAAATAGGAGTAGATACATTTGTTAAATAAAATAATCTTCTTATTTAAACGATGATCCCTAACTATTGTCATATTGATTTTAGTATTCATGTTTGTGCTTGAAGAACGTTTTCACGGCGTAGTTACGATTTAACAGGAAAAATCTTATATCGTATAATTCATTTCATGACAAAAATTGTAATAAGTTTTACGAAGTATTTACTTAATTATATACAAATTAAACTTGCACTTAAATTTTGTTAATCAGAGAGTGCGTTAGGTATTTTGATTCGTTCACTCAATCAACATGATTATTTATCGACCGCAAAGGAGGGGTTAGGAATTTATATGTCAATTAAAACATGCCATAGTTTTAAATGAGCAAATAATTTAAAGTAATTGCGATTTTTTCAATACATTTTTTTTTCTTTTTGGGCGACAAATTAGTCAGATTAACGCCCATTCAATACCAGCTAAGGGCGTCAGTTTTCCTAGACTTACTTCTGATTTCTGATTCCCCTTTGTAGTCACTCGGTAAATAAGGATACTTTTGTAAATGAAAAAAAAGTACTCATCGTGACACGTGTATTTAGAACCCCGTCGGTTAACACTGTGAGAAATCTCATACCTCTATATCTTAAAAGTAAATTGAAATGTAACCCATCTTTTTTCATGTTATTATCCAATTCTGTAATACAAAAGCAACCGTTTTCGAAAGAAAAGCGTTAAAAATTTCCATCATCATGTCTTATGCAAGATAACCATAGTAAAAGTCCATGCACAAAGCTTGTCAACACTCAGGTATGTTGCGTCGTACATTCACGGGATGATCGAATGTGTACGCATCTCTGTATTAAGAATAAGAACTTGAGTGAGATGTTACATTACAATAGATCCTCGACAGTGAGATACTGCATCCGTTATTTAACTAGAAACTTTGTTTTTAATTCCCCCTCAAAAGGAAATGCCTATTACAAATCGAATTAATTGAAATGGTTTTATAAATGAAATGAAAATAAAAGAACAATGAAATTGTATTCTAAACATTATTCGTACTTCTTAATTTGTTAATGTAGCAAAATTGAAGGAACAGAAACTGATGAAATTTTTGGAACTGAAACGTAAATTTCAAATGACGAATGGTATCACACAGTATTATTACACGAATTAATATACTAGAAGTAAATATTACTATCAGCAAAATTTAATATTTATTAACAATAGCATCACAAACTCATATTATATTAAAAAGTACTCTAGTATAATAAATTGCGGCGATAAAACGAACATGAGTGATAGACTGCAAAGGTAAAATGTCTCCAATTGGTTGAGACAGAATTCTCGCATCTCATCAACAGATGGTTCAAGAGTGAAATAACGATTCTAAATCCACACCTGCACTAACTGTGGTAAGTGTACTGATTTCTGCGAATCGCTTGGTGCTCCAGACGAACGACGACTCCCCGTCGCGGCTGCGCGCGGCCGTCGTGGAGGTGTTCCCGCGGGACAAGTGCCTCCGACTGGAGAAGCGTCTCAAGCAGGACTACATCTGCGCGGGCCAGCGCGGCGGCGGCGTCGACGCTTGCGACGTGAGTTTTCGTTTTGCTTTGGCTAACGAGTTGTGAGTTTTAGTTGCATATTTAGTTGCATAGTAGTATATTTTGGTTGAAGAGAATCTTGTCTAGTTACTCGCCTAGTTCTTAATAAATATGAAAAAGACTTAGATTGTAACAACGTAAACCAAATTTTTACAAAAATTGGGATATTAACATTTATGAATACTCGCTATGGAGTCTCGCTATGGCTTTCTTTTTAAGTGACCCAAAGTCATTAAATTCCAATAAATTCGCGGCAGTGAATTATTCTTTTGTATATTGGTTTGTAAAGTTATATTTTACGGATTGATTAACAAATCTTTATATTTAGTCTCTTATCATTCCTATGGAACTATTATTCACTAGAGAATAAAACCATTACAGTCAAGAACAATACTGTTTATCCACGGTTAATTTACTGTTCATACACCAAATGATAATTTATCCACTTGATTATCTAAAATAAAACGACGAAACTGATATCAATTTCAAAATAAGACTTACTAGAACACAAGTGTTCTAATAATCCGTGGCCCACTATTAACTCTAAACGTTTGTCTGTCACCTTTCGCAAGGTGAATAGTTAAATTTGAACGAAAAAATATGTACATTAGAATTTTTACCAAGTGAAAAAAACATACCGTATTTGTATTGTAACATCTTACGATGCATATTTCGTAAATTTGGGGTGAAAGACATAATTCAAAATGTTAGAACTCGGAAGGATGTACACATCGTAATGGCTTACAGACCTTCGTCCCAGCACATAGATAACAAGTAATTCAATTATTCTATATATACATACACACACATATATATTATATACATATATATACATATACATACACACATATACACACACGCACGCACGCACACACACATACACACACAATATATATATATATATATATATATATATATATATATATATATATATATATATATATAT